TAAAAGGGTGAGCATGTTTGGTGTGACGGGGATTCCAACTCGCGACCCTCAGACTGCGAGTCGAGCGCCCTAACCACCTGGCCATGCCGGGCCTCTCTAGTCTATTAACACCCCATTAAAACCATTAGGAAATATTACAGAAACAGCATACAAATAACTCCTTTAGGAGCAAATTATCCCAATAGTTATTTCTGTATCGGAATTTGTGCTATGAGATTCAAACAACATTTGCACATATTTACAGCTGTACTGTCACACACACACAAAAAAAAAAACAACGAGGATTTTGTGCTAACCTGCTTCGAGATAAAAAAAAAAAGACTCCTTTTAATAACATCGGCATAAGAACGGAAAACACGATCTTAAATATTTTCCTAGTTATGCTCACCCAAGAGCGAAACTGGTTATTTCTGTATAGGTATGTTAACGATAGTGTCCCATTTTTCTTCGTATCTTAAAGGAATATGCACAGTATATAAGAACCAAAATTGTGTTTTTCACTCTGCACCTTCTCAGCACAAACACCTTTGGTAATTTATTCGTTCACTAATTATTTGTTCCTCACGAAAAAATTATTTCAACTATTTCTTAATTTTTTTATGCTTTACTTGTTTCTAAATTTATATTGGGAATATTGAATTAGCGTCTTATAAAATTATTGATTTTTTTTTATTTGGCACAATTTTCTAGATATACAAAAGATTTTTTGTCCCTCTACCGTCACCTTTGTTTTCTGAAGTATTGTTTGTTTGTTTTTGAAATTTCGCGCAAAGCTACACGAGGGCTATCTGCGCTAGCCGTCCCTAATTTAGCAGTGTAAGACTAGAGGGAAGGCAGCTAGTCATCACCACCCACCGCCAACTCTTGGGCTACTCTTTTACCAACGAATAGTGGGATTGACCGTCACATTATAACGCCCTCACGGCTAAAAGGGGCGAGCATGTTTGGTGGGACGGGGATTCGAACCCGCGACCCTCAGATTGTGAGTCGAGCGCCTTATCCACCTGGCCATTCCCGGCCCTTTCTGAAGTACAAAATGTCTTTGTTGTTCCCCAAACAAATTACCTAAGAACATTAGAATGTAAAATTCATTTGTGACACTCAAGATTATAAAAAAAATTAAACGAAGAATTGTACGAAACAATGACCTCACTGGTAGTTTCTGTTGCTTTAAAAATGTTAATTGTTTTTTAAACTATGATGAGTTACATACTGTGGTTTTAATTGTTATATTAAATAAATAAATTTCTTTATTTAAATTTGAAATTTCCAAGAAATTTTGATCAGAATGGAAAAAAACGACAAATTATTCCATTCTGTTCAAAATATCTAGAAATATTTCAATGATCGTCATGTTTCTTTACGGTAGGCTTAAGTTAGGGTTAAGATGATCAAATCATGGACACGTAAATTTAATATTAATCCTCGCAATTATATGAAATGTGATAGCAAACGTAATGGTACCTGAAATTTATGATACAAAATATCAGTAACAATCGTATTATAGTAACGTTTTCTATTATTGGGCGAGTTTTTTTTTGGATTATTTGTTAAAAAGAAAGATACAAAGTCCAGTTCTATTAATGCTCACTGTTAGGCCTAAGTTATCAGTAGACGCTAGCTAATACAACAAATTCACGTGCTAATTTCTCCGCTCTACAAACCTTATGACATATTTCATATTATTTCGTTGATAATACAGTATTCCAAAGCTCCCATCTTGTGTAAATAATTTGCTAATCCTTTGAGTTCTTTCACAATTCCATTAGAGAGAACTGATCTGATAATCTCGTAATTCCTGATTGGCACATTTAGTTGTAAATCTGAAACTTTATCTGATTCATGTCCCATTAGCATTTGAAAAGTTTTCGTAAAAGATATACAATTGCTTTGTCTTATTTCAATTTGCAAATTCTCATTCACTATGTATTTATAATTCCATCATTTCACGTGGAGCATCTGATAAGATAAATGACCAAGTCTTCCCACATCTTCAGCGACTTCAGTTAAGGTCTCAACTTTCCTCCTTACTCTGTTCTTAAACTTTGCTTTAGAAACTTCCTTCTGATGCGAAACTTCAAATCTATTTGATTAGCCCAATACGTAATATTTGTTACGAAACTATGTAGGCTACTTTGTGTCATTAAAACTGGTCTTTTTAAATGAGCAGCAAAATAAATAACTTGCTGTCCACTATTCCAAACATCCACATGCCTCTTTTCTATCATAATCAACTGGTTTCTTAATTGGGCGTTGATTCGTTTGTTAGTTTGAAGTTAAACACAAAGCTACACAATGGACTGCCTTAAATTGATGAGGTATTGGTGTAGCTGGAATAGTAGAGAAACACCAGACGGTTATAAATAACATATAGCAGTAGTAACAGGTGTAGACCACATGGTTTCTACTTTTAATATGGAATAATTAGTGATATTTGAGATTGGAAGTCTTGAATGGGTGTAGAGAGAGGTGTGACTGGTTTGATTCTTATACTTGACTGTTCAATTTCTAAATGCTTTATCCTGGCATCAATCTCCTTTGCACTTCATTGATTACCTTCTGTGCTTGTTGTCTTATTCCTTATATACATGTCCTACGACTTCCTTAATATTATTTTGATTTAATTTGATTTTTTCGTTATTTTTTGTAAATCTTATGTCCCGTTCTTGTAATTCCTTTCTTAAATTCCTGTCTGTTTTCATCCTTTTCTATCTTTTGATTTTTTAATATTATATATCTTTGCATCGTTTCATCGTGTCCATTATATTTCCTATATCGCTTCGAGCACGTGTCATCGTCTTGAAGTTCAGTCTTAATGTGTGCTTTTTTTATTTTATTTTTAGGGCCAGGTGGCTAAGGAGCTCGGCTCGCAATCTGCTGGTAGTGGGTTCGAATCCCCGTCCCACCAAACATGCTCGTCCTTTCAGCCGTGAGGGCGTTATAATGTCACAGTCATTCCCACTATTCGTTGGTAAAAGAGTAGCCCAAGAGTTGGCGGTAGGTGGTGTTGACTAGCTGCATTCCCTCTAGTATTACACTGCTAAATGAGGGACGGCTAGCCCAGATAGCCCTCGTGTAGCTTTGCGCGAAATTCAAAACAAACAAACGATTTTATTTATAGCTGCCCACCGGTGGTACAGCGGTATGTCTGCGGACATATATCGCTAGAAACCGTGTTTCGACACCCGTGGTGGGCAGAGCACAGATAGCCCATTATGTAGTTTTGTGCTTAACTTCAATCAATATATTTCAAAATAAATTTCTTATTTATGTTTGTTTTGTTTGTTTGTTTTTGAATTTCGCGCAAAGCTACACGAGGGCTGTCTGCGCTAGCC